ACTCTCATCCTGCCACCAGTACAAAAAATGTAATACATATGTTGCTTTGGTCAGTTTCTCGGTTGGGTATACACCTCCCATTCCCTTTTTTTGTTTTAGTAACATGGCCTTCAGCGTGCTGTGGGTGCATTCAATAATTGCTTGGCCCGTATGTGAGCGTGGAATACCTGTAATATGTTTAATGCCCCAGGCCTGTAAGAAATCTCTGACACATATTGAGACGTAACTGGGGCCATTATCTGTTTTTATGGTTCGTGTGACTCCTAGAGTTGCAAATGCGAGCAAGAGATGCTTACAAACATGCTTACAAAGTCCCATGCCTTTTCTCCAGTATGAGGGGAGGCTATGATCGCACCAGAGAAGGTGTCCACCATAACATGGGCATAATTTCAGGTGGCCAAACTCAACAATATGAGTGACATCCGTCTGCCACAGTTCTAGTGATTTCAACTCCCTTGAGTTGATTCCGTAAGACAACCATGGTGTGACGTGCTGACAATCAGGGCACACAGTGATTATTTGGCATCTGGTTCAGTGTAGGTCCAAATGATTTCTGTAGTGCTGTTGCATTTTGGTGGAAAAAGGTATGTGATAACTGCACCTGTTCAAACATGCTAGGTACAACCACAATACCTGCCAGTTGATCTGTGAGTCTATTACCTTCTGTTAATGGTCCAGGCAAAGTGGTATGGGATGAAACGTGTGATGAAGTAACATTCCTTTTGCATATTAATCAAAATCAAAAGAGAATACAGTAATGCAAATAGCCGCTCATTAGATACCACTTTTAAATATGCTGCTTCTATCCTGGTGACTATTCCATTGACATATGCTGAGTCTGTAACAGTATTAATAGGGTCAGACCATTTTTGAAATACGCACACCACCACAGCTAACTCTACTATCTGTGGAGATCATTTTACAACATGAATATCAGACATTCACCATCCTTGAGAGTCCTGCCAAACAATAACCAAACGTCCTGTCCTCTCTGATCCATCCATAAAGACAGTCAACACATCTATCAGAATAGGAGAGCACTTAGGAAGATCCTGTAACCAAAAATGGGATTGTAATAATCTGTGCCCTGGTGGATGCACTGATATTGTTCCAGGGAAGCCTTCCATGGCCACCTGAAAAAGCAGCAAACTTTGCAACAACCATTGTAACATATTTACAGACACTGGCAAAATAAACACTGAAGGCTCCAACCCACTCAATGACAATAGTCTTTGCCATCCCCTGATGATGAGAGTGGTGATCATTTCAACCCTTGTAGTGACAGTGAAAGTGAAAACTGATGAGGCACGAAGATCCACTCCAACATCAGGAGTGGGTGTTTTAATTTTGCATCCCATTGAAATAGGAGTACGTATGGCTGGAAGTCCGGATTCATAATTAACAGCTGAAAGGGGAGAGGTGGATCATATCGCTGAACCTGTCATCCCAACATTGCTGTGGCAACCTCCTTAATGGTATTTGCACTTCTGGTGTCAAAGTTTGCCTTGAATTTAATGTTGTGTCCCCTTTTAATAACTGGAATAATGGATGCAACATTTTGTTGGTTGTGCCCGGTATGGGTCTGACCCGATTTAGGCTCCTAATAGTTTTTGCATATCATTCAGGGTGCGAACCTCTGTGCTTATCCTTAAGCTTTGTGGGGCTATGTTCTGATTCATAATTTGCCACCCCAAATATCACCAGGGTGAGCTCTCCTGAACTTTCTCAGGACAACTTCTAATCCCTGACTTCTGACACATTAAAGAACTATGGTCATTGCATGTTGTATCTCTTCCCCTGACTGGGTTCCACAAGAATGTCATCCATATACTGATAAATAGTTGCGTAGGGCAACTTTTTCCTCGCAGGGGATAGAACCCTTGCTACAAACCATTGACACATAGTGGGACTATTTTTCATTCCCTGGGGTAGCACTGCTCAGTGATACCTTTTAGCTGGTTCAGATGCATTAATGGAGGGAACTGAGAATGCAAATTTAGGCACACCATGAGGATCCAGCGGAATGGTAAGGAAGCAGTCCCTTAAATCAATAACAGTCAAACATCAGTGTTTTGATATCATTGTAGGGGATGGTAGTCCAGACTGCAATGGTCCCATTTCTTCCATGACAACATTAATTTGTCGTAAGTCTTGTAACAGATGTCATTTCCCATTCTTCTTCCTAATCACAAACACTGGAAGTTCCATGGGCTGGTAGTAGAAATTATGTGGCCAGCTGTTAATTGTTCCTGAACCAGCTCATGCAAGTGGTGCAGATGTCTTCCATATGAGTGGTAATGTACCGCTTTTTTGATTTGTCCCCAAAATCAATCTTCACTAAAAGAGGCAGTCCCATCCCCAAAGAGTCAATGGTGTTTGGAGGATGTAAGGACAAACACAGGCTCTTCTGCCTTCAGGACCCACTACTTGAATCACAAGTGCACTCTGTACAGGGAGAGTCTGTCCTCCTATACCTGTTAATATGGTATACCTGGGAGGTGGGCCAATGTGATGGCCAGGAACTTTGGGCAAATATCTGCCCCAGTGTCCTTGATGCCAGACACCACAAATCTCTGCAATGGATTCCCTGACTCTAGCATGCAAGTCAGTGTTAGCCAAATGTGTGATACCTTTTGAGCCCCCAGTATATGTGGGGAATCTGTATAGTCAAACCCCTCAGCC